AGAATGTTTGCCAGCTGTGAAAACGTACTGCTTCAGTCGAAACGGGATTTTCGTTTGCTCTTTGGGTGTAATTGAAACTTTTACCTCAGAAACATCCCGTTCCGCTTTGGTGAATTCGCGGCCTGTCGATTTATTTGCAAATGTTTGGATGTCATGCAAGCTCACAACTTCTTGATGTATACTTTGAGGACCTTTCGAAACAACTTATAATCTTTTCTTTCTTAATTTCTCCTTTCATTATGCTCTATATATGAGATATCTCTCGCGCAAGCCTTTTTAATCCCTTTACTTCTGTCCTTCATCAGGCAGATGACACATGAATATATTAGCAAATCATAACTATGACGCCGGAAAAAAATGAGAACCTCATCTTGCAAGTTACTTGACGTCTTCGTCTTACTTTCAGACTGATACAGTCAGAGCTTTGATTCCGTAGCTGGATTAAGTTTGTGACTCAAGTTAGTTTTCACAAATTAAAAACGCATAAGGCACCTCATTACAGCCCTATGTGCACGAAGATGCTCATGTACATACACGTCATACCGAAATGGAAATCTTTCGGTTGCATCTTTCTTCTAGGTTTCGCAAATCCTTTCTTTCGTTTCTTCAACCAGACCGGTGAAAACTTTGCCTCAGGAACATCCCGTTCCGCTTTGGTGAATTCGCGGCCTGTCGATTTATTAGCAAATGTTTGGATGTTATGCAAGCTCAGAACTTTTTGATATATACTTTGAAGACCTTTCGAAACAACTTATAATCTTTTCTTTATTAATTTTCTCCTTTCATTATGCTCTATATATGAGATATCTCTCAAGCAAGCCTCTTTAATCCCTTTACTTCTGTCCTGCATCGGGAAGATGACACGTGAATATATTAGCATATCAAAACTATGACGCCGGAAAAAAATGAGAACCTCATCTTGCAAGTTACTTGACGTCTTCGTCTTACTTTCAGACTGATGCAGTTAGAGCTTTGATTCCGTAGCTGGATTAAGTTTGTGACTCAAAAACGCGTAATGCACCTCATTGCAGCCCTATGTGCGCGAAGATGATCACTGTCCATACACGTCATACCGAAATGGAAATCTTTCGGTTGCATCTTTCTTCTAGGTTTCGCAAATCCTTTCTTTCGTTTCTTCAACCAGGCCGGTGATTTCCTGTTCAGTTCTTTCGCTTTTTGAGTCACTCACTAATCCAAAAAATGAAATCAATTTAAATTGATTTTCTCGCCAGAAATTTATGTTGATTTTATGAACTTGGATATTACGCCCGACAGAAAGAACAAAATATTTTAATGTACAATTACTTTCGTTATAGTTTACCTATTTAATTGTTTTTTTAAGGAATATTTCCTTGCTTTATTCGAGACAGACGAATCGTAAACTGCTGTAAATAGAGCGAGCATGTGACATGGTGATTGGCTGAAAAACAAATGACGTCATTTCTCGCAAAGCTGAGGGGACTCCCCGCGCATCATGTGAATTCTAAAAATATAAAACGCTTATTCCCCAGAACTTTGCAGCATTAGAGCTCAGACACTGAAGCGAACGGATCGAAACGCCCTCGGACTTTGAAACGAAGATTATAATACTCTTCTAGGAGTTACTCACGCAGACTGCTGTTTAAGAAATATTTCGCAATGCCCGCGGAGAGACTTCGTCTTCGAGCGTGGATAGAGAAAGAAGCAGACGGCGGCAGGCTACCGGGTCTTGAGTGGGAGGACCGTGACAAAGGCATCTTTAAAGTCTCCTGGAAGCATGCTTCGAGACAGTGCTGGTCGTTTCCTAAGGACGCCTGTGTTTTCGAAGGCTGGGCAATCCACAGTGGACGGTACAGGAAAGGTTACGACCGCCCCGATCCGCGAAGATGGAAAGCGAATTTTCGATGTGCTCTCAACGCTCTTCCGGATATCATTGAACTTCCAAACCAGGGCATTGCGCGGGGCCAAGATGCTTATAAAGTCTATCAGATAGTCAGGAAATCGGTGAAGAAAGACGGCCACAATAAACGGCAAAGCAAATGTAAGTATATTGCGTGGTTTTGAGGCCAGACAACGGCGGCCTTGACGGCTCAATATGTGCACACGAATCAATAAGAAGGCGAAGAGTGCTTACCGAATCAAAATTTTAACCTGTTTATTCACGGATGTTGTGGCAGTTCTATGAGACAAATGTTTCATTTTAGAGATTGTGTGTTTAAACCGAAGGAAATCGTTGTCGAAAACAAAAACGTCAATAGAATTTGTGCGCGCTCTTGTGCAGATCTGGAACCCGTGACCTGTAAACCGACTTCTCGACAAATTTCCGGCCAATTTTAGTGTTTATCCTTAGCGGAAGTTCTCAGAACGACTAAATTACAACATGCTACAATCATGAGTTTAATCTTAGCAAGGATTCGAGGCTTATTTTTGTGAGAACGCTGCGAAAAGAATAAATCGAAGTCAACAAAGCATGGCCAATTCCCAGAAATAGGCAAAAACCCGTTTACGATAGCATTTCCGAGAAAAAGCTTCGAATTACGTAATTTGCATATCGTTAAAGCACTGGTGAAGTCGTTTAAACGAAACCGTAATAATTTGAAGGGGGGAATTTTGCTAAAGTGTTAAGATCAAGGGAGTTTTATCATCGTTAGTTTATTCGGAGTTTGTGAACATCCTCGTTATATCGATTCCGCGAAAAAAAAAACTTGATCAGGGCGTCATCGGTGACGCCCTAAAAAAACTGATCAAGCACAGTTAACCCGCGGACCAGTTCAGCAAACACGAGAGAGCTACAGACTTCGGTTTCTGATGAAATCAGGTTTTAGCAAACATTCTGACTCTAAATTTCAACGAGTAATGTTCGGCAGTTTTAGCACAGTATGCTGAAAGCTGAAGAAAAAGGGGCTTTTGTCTAGTTTAGGGAAGTTTTTTTTGTTTGGTGTGGGAATATTCTCGGAAAGCGTCACAGTTTGACGAACAGACCGTCCTTTGGAGACAATTTTCGTGCATAGTTTGACGATGCAAATAGGCCGTGATGAGAATTTAATTTGAAACCGAAAGGTTCGAAAGTCTTGAAGACTCTTTCGATATCAGCATGCAATACCGGGATTCGATCCGGTTTGGCGTCAGGTGGTCAATGACTTATTTATTCGGCATTTGTTGTTCTTTGAGCTTACCAAGAAATGGCGGGTAAAAAATGCATCGACTAATAAGTTTCCTGTGAAAATTGAGAATAAATATGAGATGCTTTGCCCTAGCTGCTCTCAAACACATATTGTAAAAATAATATAGATACAATGCACAGAGGGCCACTAATATAAGGTCATCATGATGGCTCAACTTAAACACCAGACAGACAGGTTTTCAAGTAAAACCACATTCTGCACTAGTCCAAAGAGAAACGCGTTACAAATATCCACATTCTCTCTTCCAGAAGCTTAAAAGTAGTCATATCTGTATGTTATAAGGAGATCGATCTTGCTTTGAGAGAGGTGGAGTGCAAGTGTAAGAAGTCCGTATCAAACCCCACAGTTGAATCTTCGAAGACAAGTCGCATCGTTTTACTTTAAGCAAAAGCAGTTCAAATATTTTCGAGATTTCATTACAGAAATTCCGTTTGAGATACCTTTACAAAAATTTTGCCTCGAGTTCTAAGGAACACGAGGGAAGAATCATTTCGCTATACTGCGACCTCCATTTGAAGTCGGAGAATGCGGAAAAATATATTAAGTTGAACTACTTTAAGTGTATGCAGCTCCACTTTAGGTGATTCCAATGATTTTACTAATGTGCTGACGGTGAGACTTCCATGGTAATAATTTTTTTTTGGCGCGGTACGCTAAATGCTTTGAACTGTTCCTGTTTATCAAATGATTATGGAATCATGATATCGGGAATAGCTCTTGTAATGCGGAATTGGGTATTTCAGACTAGATTACAAAGGCTTATGACCTGCTTCAAGTGCGAATGAAATTTGCAGAAAAAGACCGGAAAACCAGACACCCCATTGTCCATGCCGGAATATAACACGAGCAGTCCTTTATCATTTGTCGGCAAATTATGTTTAGAGTTCACCACTTGTCATGAATTGTTGACTATAGGAGCGCTACCTTAGCTTGTCAAGCAAGCGTGAAGCTGGAACGACCAGAATACACTAACAAACGAAACGGGACCCTCTGAGTATTCTTTGACCACTTCCTTTGTCGGACCTAGGAATTAGTTGTCTCTATTTAGGATAAAATTCAAGTGAACATGCATGTATATCAGCCTCGCTGAACATCCGTAAAGCACATCACATCTACGAGGGCTTTGCCTTACTCACGGCTGCTTGAAGCATTGAGTGTTATATGGACAGTGTTATGTTTGAATTTATGTGTAGTCTGGCCTGAAAGTTACTTTCATACTTCTTTTTAACATTGTAAAGGGTAGAATGACGAATGAGTTAAAGTAAAAGAAAAAATTCAAACGAGGGCTTAAGGAGGGATCAGGTTACATATCGAGTACTAATCATGGATCCGGTGATGGAATAGAGTTGAACAACACACGAATGTGAAAGTGAATGGACATGTTGTCTCCTTGTTTTATTTCGTAGATGTTCTCAATCTTCTAACTTTTCCACAATCTGGGTTGAGTCGGGTTTTGGCTATGAATGTTGCACATGGATTGCGAAGCATCTGTGGGTTGCGCAAAAGAGTTTGGAAAATTTCTGATATCTTTCTATCAGTAATTTGCTGCTCTTTAATTTGCAGCAAGCGCCTCTACCAGTGCGGTTACCAACACAAACGTAACGCCACCATCCAGAGATCACACAGCTGCGAAAAGAGCGAGGAGGGAACCAGAGCCAGCGAGATTGAAGAGAGCAACTCCAGGGGTAGGTGATACCACTCTTAAAACAAAGTGGCGACAAACGAAGAAATTCAAGAGACTGCATATTAAAATTAAATTTACAGTAGCTTTTGTATGTATTGTATACTCGGAAAGCTGTGAATTGGGCGCCCGAGATAGTGAAATACCTGAGCCGCATTACCATTTCGTATCATGTTAATTTTTGCCTGATATATCCGAGGTTTTATGAACCTTTCTAACAAGTGTATATGTAAAACTATCGATAATAATCGTTGAATCTTTACTGATGGGGCGACCAAAAATAATGAAGGAAGAAAATCCTATTTAGGCAAATCGAAAAAAGTACAGTATATGTCCGAAAGATCGTAAAACGTTCAATGAATTTGGGTCGAAACAACCGAACTTCCAGGCAAGCGTTCTCTAAGGTAACTAAATCTGAGTAAGTTTTACTCAACAAACTAAAAGAGCAATGATTATCTCTCAAGGAATTGTCAGTTTTGCCCGAGTAAACAACCTGCGGCAACTTCCGTTCAATTTTACGGATTGATTTCCAAGAAACTTTACCATTGGGGGTACCGAATTTGCCTCTGAAGGAGTCAAAGCAGACTCTTGAATCTGTTCACAGTTTGGCAATGAGAAATTGCTTTTGACTTCTAATTTAACCGAAGATTTCTTGAACGAGTGCTAAAAGAATTGGATTAAATGTTTGCTGAAGATCACTGTTCAAGACAAAGGTGGGTAAAACTGAAAGAAGAAAACGAAAGCTTGACGTTTCGGGGTTCGAACGCAAAACTAGTTTCGCTTCCTTTAGCCGAGGTTTGTTTGTGTCAGTCTTAGCAATGCGAAAATGCAACCACAATGCTTATAGCGTAAGTCGTGTTTCAGACCGTTTCAGTTTCTTTTAGGTGTTGAGTCAACAGACACGTGTCAGTCAAGACTGTCAAGCTGCCAGTTTTGCAACATTCGAAACTATTTCGTTATCAATCGAAAGGATACTTAGTTTCCTTAACCGAGGTCAGAACAATGACAGGAGGAAGATCGCTTCTTACGAAGGAGAAACAAAGATTAAAACTAGCAATGGATCGATATTTGGGCTAATTTTTCGCGACTGGAAACCTGTCTTGGTTGTTATAGGAACAATAAGCACAATCTAGAGCTTTCGATCTATGTAAGTTTGATCCATTCCTATCAATCATAGCTGTCAATCAAAGCTGGCAGTCAGTATATATATAGCTATTGCGGCACATGCCATGTCGTTCTTAGAAATCGTCCACCTATTAAAGAACACTTGTTTTTGTTAACTTTTTTTGTTATTTCTTCTTTGACTGCCACCTTGCACTCTCTACTTTTCTGTCACAACACGAAATTAGCGAGTAGGTACAAGAATCAGCGGAAAGTTTCATCGCTTCACCGCAAACGAAATTTCACGCTTTGTTAAAAGGCGTTGATCAAGTGTAGTCAGGTCTCTCGTTCTGCTATGTGAAAAGATTCAATAAAGAAGTGAGGCGTACGCCTTGTTCGCAACAACAGTCCTTTAGGTAATGAAAAGAAGTTGGCGGTTCAGACTTCCTGTAGCAGCCTAGCAGAGGCGCTAATCTTTTTCTCGTTGTTTAGGAACAGCCTAGAAAGGCTCCATACTACCCCCTGCCGGGTAGTAAACCACCATTCAGTGGCTTTGGATTCTGGCCAACATTCCACGCCTGGCCACATCTGCTTGATCATGACTACATGAATACGTGGTTCGACCCAAGACCCGAGATGAAAGGTATGTCATGCACTAAGCCTTTAATTGTCTATTGTACTGAGTACCTAGCCAGTAAGTGGAATTTTAGAAGTTTGAAATGGAATCAAAGTAGTTAAAATACTAATGAAGCGTCTTCTTGTCTCGTATTTTTCTCAGACATTGGAGTTATGACTCAACCAGGAATTAAGCAAGAACCTTTGTCTCCAGGCGATAACATGATGGCATCATGTTCTCGGGAACTTGTTGACTTAGAAGAGGTATTGTACTTATTAAAAATGATTCGTTAAAAAATCGTCAAACATCTAGTGAAAAAAATGGGTATTTACTGACTGAAGTCACGTGAAATGCCTAAAATCGTTTCCAGGGTTCTCTTGTCAAAAAGCACCAGAGCTGTACATTTACTTGTACTACTGAAGGACTGAGTGGGAGAGTTTTCTAATGCTAAATAGTTTTTCTCGGCTACCTGGCATTCTAATTGTTCCTGGAAAGGACGTGTTTCCTCTGTGAAGACTAGTTAGCTGATAAGACAATATTTAATTCTAAAAGGAGTTTGAAATCACAAAATGACAAAAATCAAGGCATTTCGGTTCAAATACGAAACACTCATGAAAACTGTGTGTTTTACTTGGAAATGGTCGCAAGGTATATCATATAAATGTGAGATGGTTTTTAAATGTATTTTTCAGAGTTCCCCAGCAGGTGCCAAGGTCATCGTGAAAGAAGGTGAGATACTGATTAAGCTTGCCTTAGAGGTTCTTTGAACTGCAAGTCTTGTTCTTTGAAACGTTAGGATCTTTAACCATATACTTATCCTGCTTTGAAATGAATTTTGCAGAAGATGAGGTACCCAGCGATCAAGAAATCATCGATGTAAGTTAATGCTCTGGTTTATTGATGTTATTGTTGCTGTTTTATAGTCTGCATGTATTAGTGTGATTTTCGGAGACTCTGTCACTGAGTAATTTTATGCCCTTTTTGACGTGTTTGAACTGGCCTCCTATACGCTATACCAATAAAAAATAAGTGTGAAGTCTGCATACGAGCCAAGTGTTCCATCAGGCCGGTGCTTGTGTCCGCGGGTTCAGTAGCATGAAGCGAGTACGGGTATTTCTACTCCTCCCAGGATTGGATGGTAGTCCATTGCAGGGTTACCCTCCAGCATTTAATTTGCCGATGCCCATTTATACACCTGGGTGGAGAGAGGTCCTGGGAGAGTAAAGTGTCTCGCCCAGAAATACAACGCAATGTCCCCGGCCAGGGACTACTCGATACGGAGGCGAGCGCAACAACTATGAGGCCACCGTGCCTCTACTTATGAAACGTCAACTGTTATTCGTACTCTTCCCCTGTATGCCCTTCCCGCTACCAATTTCAATTTGCCTGGATATAACCGAAGTGTGTTTCCCTCTCCTCCCTAGCTGGTAGATCAAATGTCAGATCAGAGTAGCTCCTCACTTGAGGATTTGGACGGCATGGAGGGATCAAATGAGGAAGGTACGTGTAAAATAATTAACATATATATGTCTGGATTTATGAAAACCGTGCTAATTTCAACACAACCGCCCTGACACTTTTCCAAGAAAATACACAGGCTTTTTCACTCAATCAACCACAGGTACTCTGTCAACACACAGCCTACTCACCCATCTTGCTTGTGTCTGGTTGGCTGGCTGCCGGCCCCTAAGGCTGCAGGGCATTGCTGGCCAAGGCTGTTCTGCAAAGAAAATGAGCAGTTTTAACTGGGGAAAATGCCTCTCTCTGTGACCCACCCCACCACCCTGGGGTAAGGGCGTGGCGGTCCCGCTTGGTATCAGCTGGTAGCCAGGTCCCAGCTATCTTCCCCAACCCTCCTTGAAGGAAGCCTCCCTGGCTTTTCAAGCACCGCTATCGCCGGCAGGCAGGCGCGAAAGTTTTGCCCCAAATTTGACACAGTTTTCATAAATTCAGACACATATATATATATATATATCGAATTACTAGTCATTAGGGATGAATGACGCTACAATAAAAATATAAAGAGTAAACAGATTTCAAAAAACTGCACGCCATTTTTTTGGGTTCAAGTTATGCGCCTCCAAGGTGCTCCAAGGTGCCTTCAAGGTCTTCTCATTTAGCCCCAAAATGTGGATATTTTGGCAAGGGCTTGGAAGCTTTGCGCCAATTTTGGGGTGATGCCCTTTTCCTGGTTGAAACAAATCATGAGTTCCATTTGTATGCTGTTGTATGCGTACGTAAAAGCCGTTACGCGTTAACTGGATTTTCTGCAACTAGTGAGCACCCGTGATATAAACGGGGTGACTGTTCTAGCCTGTTTCTCAAGAAAACATATTCATTTTGCTCTTTTATAGATTTTTCGGAAGATGCTTCTCCTCCAACAGAGCGTCCCCCTCTACGGCTGGTTTTGAAGACTGAAGGCTCATCTGATTATGGGAATGAGTACACAAGTTCCCTTCCCTTGACTCCAGACTCCACTAGGGAGATTTTAAGTGTCATCAACAGGTCATGAAAAAACGATAACAAACTCTGCAAGGTTTGAAGACGTCCCAGTGAAGAACTCTTACAGGGAATTATACACGTGTAGTCAAGTTCAGCAATCGAAGGAAACGTATTTTCACACTGTCTAAGACCGATGCAATGAGCTTCGGTCAAAGAACTATTGGACTTCAAGTCTGCCTAACCTGCCTTAAGAGGACACCTTAATTACAAACTGCACGTACCTCTTTGGACGTTTAAACGAGTAGAGTTTTCACGTGACCAGAACTATAGCTAACCTTCCTCTTATCAGGAGGTGGTGTTTCTTTTGCACAAATTTTATTGTATCATGTAAGATAAATAGTGGTAAAGAAAGAAAAAGTAATGTAACATTGTTAGTAGAGTTCATTCGCTTAAGTTGTAGGCTTACACCTACCTCTTCCAGGGTCAGTAAATATGTGTCGATCTATGAAGTCTGTGGATGAAACCTTAGTGTTCAACCAATCAAATGAAAGTTATTGAGGAGTACATTCATTTAGTACTGTTTATTATACTGCACAACTGTAGATCCAATTCTTAAGTCTGTAGATGTAACTCTAGTGGGTGACCATTCAAATGAAAGCCGCTGAACAGTACTTTTATTTGGTACTACTATTATAAAACTAACACTTTATCTCACATTATGAATCTGGTCACTCCTGGAAGTAAAGATGGAAGGTAAAACATAATAAACTGATCTATGGGATCACTCTAGAGTACTAGCAATCAGGTTTTGTTCACAATTTGACGCAAAACGTAATCTTACATCAACAACACTCCTGAATGCCAATGAATTGGCATTCAGAAGCAAAAATCATTTGGAAACTCGTCTCTGGGCATCCATAATTAATTTTCCATCAAAGAACCATACATGCTATGCATATTGACAGAAATAAATCGTTTTTACAAAACCTGTTTTAAAACGAGTGGTTAGTACTTTTAAAAATATAAAAAACGAATATATATTTTGTGCGTGTTAGTTTTTTAAGAAGCTTTTATGCTGTAGGGTCAAAAGTGTGCGTAACAAAAGTCATTTTTTCTTTAGAAGTTAGCGTAGAAATGATTTTAACTGTTCACTGTTTTGTTGATGTTGCGATGACCGAATCAGCGTAGAAGATATCGCTTCTTCTTAACCTCGATATCAGTCTGACATGTTTTGTTGAAGTTTTATCGGTGCAAATTTTCAAACGTGACAATAGGAATAAAGTAATCAACTCTATTTTAAGGAGTATAAGTCTTATGAAATAAAGTGGTTTTGTTTTAATTTACATCATGACTGACGTAGCTTTAATTTCGTAGAAGTGTCGACAGTTACATCAAGTCAAATATACAATTTACTTACAATCGTTGAAAAAACTAGTACTCAGCTAATGTCGAGCTTCAATTCAGTCCAATCATGAAACAGTGGTCTATCTTTTAAATCAAATTGAAACCCTACTATATGACCATTCAAATGAAAGCTATTGAGCAGTACTTCCATGTGGTACTGTTTATTATGCTGTACAGGGTGGGTTTAACTTCTGAGTCAGTGGATAAAAACACAGTGCGTGGCCATTCAAATGAAAGCTACTGAGCTGTACTTTCATGTGGTACTGTTTATTATGCTGTACAGGGTGGGTTTAACTTCTGAGTCAGTGGATGAAACCCAGTGAGTGACCATTCAAATGAGAGCTACTGAGCTGTACTTTCATGTGGTACTGCTTATTATGCTGTACAGGGTGGGTTTAACTTCTGAGTCAGTGGATGAAACCCAGTGAGTGACCATTCAAATGAGAGCTACTGAGCTGTACTTTCATGTGGTACTGCTTATTATGCTGTACAGGGTGGGTTTAACTTCTAAGTCAGTGGATGAAACCCAGTGTGTGACCATTCAAATGAGAGCTCCTGAGCTGTACTTTCATGTGGTACTGTTTATTATGGCGTGCAAGGTGGTTCTAACTTCTGAGTCAGTGGATGAAGCCGCAGTGTGTAACCATTCAAGTGAAAGCTACGGAGGAGTACGTTCACGTGGTACTGTTTGTTATGCTGTACAGTGTGGTTCTTACTTTTGAGTCAGTGGATGAGGTCGCGGTGCGTGGGAGGCTTTGTGACCACAAAAGGTCAATATAACTAAAATCACGTCAGCGCGTCAAATTGAGTAAATATATAAACATTGTTCAAAATCATTCATGTAGATCAAGCCTGCATCACATTTAAGATGTAAAACCTCGCACACGAGCAATAAAGTCGCTTTACTAAACTTTTTATCGACCTACGTAAATGTATACAAATCTAGGGGATTCCCCGGATTAAGTGTGCTTTTCCGCCACCTGTCAGCCAGTCGCTGCTGTGATAATTCATTTGCATTTTTAGGAAAGGATATTCAAATTTGTACATCGAAAGTCAACATTTACTCGTCGACTAAATTAAGGCACTTTACACTCGACAAAAATAGAAGAAGGCGGGAAATCGAGCGTTTGTGGGGAACAATTTTCGAGACAACAAATAACGGGAAAACTATTTTGGTGATTTGAGACTGAAATCTTTTACAGTGCTGATTTATGTCTCAATGAAATGCAGAGACCTGAAATTTAGGGCATTAAAATTTTCTATTCACAAAATTTATGGCTTGCAGACAGAAAAAAATCGAAATCCCTCCTTGCATTGTATAAAAAAAAWAAWAATCTTATTCTAGAGTTAAATATGTTTTGTTTTCGTGCCCTGAATAAACTTGTTCTTAAAATGTTAATTAATTATGCATAACGAATGCAATATTACTCACGTAAACAACTGCACTTGAAGTCGAAAAATATCAGTATGGTCACAAATTTTGAATCGGAGTTTACTGTTAAATAGTATATGTAAAGCAAAATAAAAATTGTGGGGATTCGGATAAAGATATTTAGCTTACTTTACTTTACGTTACTGCACATGAATAATTTAAATGGCAGACTAACTGTTGACAAACAGAGACGGGAAAAACCCCTTTTATTATAAAGAAAGGGACTTTTCCCTAATCCCATAAAGTAGATGTATATCGATATAATATATCGCGTGTAGACCTTATAAAACACAGTCTGTTGCACGGAGCGCGGCAAAGGGTCTTATGTGCGATTTAGCTTCCTTCAATAAGCCGAATTTTCAATTCAGTCAGTTGAGGAAAAAAGCGTATGAACTTCCGGTTGGATCCGATATCACCAGTGATTCTCAGAATATCAAGACTTGATTAATTTCAAGGATTTCATTTTTCAGTTGTCTGGCCGGCTTTCCACGCAGCGTAGAGGTAAAGAAGCACCATGCATGATTACAGTAAACCTTTGGGAAAGAAACGATTGCGATTCAGGGACTGGTTGATCGATAGACTTAACAGCAAGGAAATCGAAGGAGTGCAGTGGATTGATCGAGAACGAGGACTATTCACAATACCCTGGGTACACGGATCTCACCAAAGATGGAATATAAACGATGTTGAAATATTTCGCCAGTGGGCTATTTACTCCGGAAAGTACGAACCGTCCAGAGATACACAAGATCCCAGAAAATGGAAAACGAACTTTAGATGCACGTTGAATGCTCTTCGCGATTTCAAAGAGGTGCGCAATGGAAGCTCGTCTCAAGGGCCCAGGAGGTTCAAGATCTACAGCTTGGAAAGCATCGCCAAGGGAAAGAAGGAGCGGAGTGGGTGTGAGAAGGAGGAAGAACGTAAGTTTCAACTTGAAAAACATCCTTGCAGCTAATATAATTGAAATTCCACGCGTGGCGGTATTACATTGTTTACAAAACCCATCTGGATTTCTCAGAAAAGTGTTCATAAGACGTAACTAACGGGGGACAGGACGGGAAGGGGGACGCTTCTTAGCAAAAAGGAACAAATGAAGCAGGGAAAGTACTCTATTATATTATATATTTTTGTTTACATGCATTCGAAATTCTCACAAACATATCTAAGAAAGCATCTACAGCACGCAGCTTGAGAGAATTCATCTTTAAATCCCTTGTTACCTTTTAATTTTCAATGTTTGACTTTTCAAGTTTGTCGCTCCCATAAAGTTCTCGTGAAAGGGAAAGTACCAGGGGAAAAAAGTTTGCTTACTTGATGAAATAATTTATTTACCACAAAAAAATGCACACCAGTCGAAATGTAACATCAGACGTTCTTGTGACATCCTCATGTCGCAAGATGACCACTTCATGCCCCACCCTCCACACCCTGATTATATTTTTGTCATTGTTTTGTCAATGATTCGACAATTCCTAGAAATTTCGCAAAGTCCTCAAGGGTCAATTCTCAAGCGGCTTCTTGACAAAAACCAGCCGCTTGATCCGAATTCTAATAAAAGTGGCAGCAAAACATTGCTCGCATTAGGCGCCAACAAGAAATTCACGTCGATGTTTCACTGACTTTTCTTATTTGACGTTCAACTCAACATCCTACCGGACACAAGACGGAGGTTCTGTACATTAGCTGCAGATGCTTTTCCTGAAGGAAAGCAAAATTGAAATAAGAGAATTTATATTATTCGGTTTGAAAATATCCAGTAACAAAGGGTCTAAATTTATCTTTTCCTCTTCCCCACACAGAAGAAAAAAAGGCAAAAGTTTTAGATTAGTGTTGTTTTACAATGACCAGCATCAATTTTCTCGAGAAAATATCGATACCAAGACGGCCATGTTAATCAATAATTCTGATGGTAAAACTTGTCTAACTGGAGATGAAATCCTTCCAAGAAATTATCCGGAAAGAAAACCTGTTAGTCAGGTTTATCTTTCTTTACTTGTGACGCCATGAATCTGTGATCTCACAGACTGACCTTCATTCCTTTGGTCAGCCTCCTACCGCTGGCCAGAACAGAAAAACTTGTTTTTCACTTCCTCCCAAGCGCTTAACCTCAGGGATACCATACTGACAGCATGAACTCCGAGGAGTAACCAAATCTGCCATGCAGATTTTAGTACTTGTAGACTGAGAGTGCATAGACCTTATCAGGGTGTTAGAAGCCATATTCGCGGACAGGAAGCACGACCGAATTGACCAAACTAGAAAGCGTTCAGCCGCGTTTTTGATATGCAAGTGGCTTTGCAAGTTCGGGGGAAAATATAAACCAATGTTTGGCGAATCAAAAACGCGCCGGGGGAAGCTAACATCCCTGAAGTTCGGTTATTGCAATTTTTGCCTAGTATATCTATACTTAACTAATCATACATTGTTCAGAATTCATTAGATTCCCATACAAGCACTGAAATTTATAACACTTGTTGCCTAACCGTCAAGATGGCTCCCAAAACAGTGATAAGCTCTATTCG